TAAAGTACATTTAACTGATGAAAATATAAATTTATTTTAAATTCGATGCTCTCATAAACTTCTTAGTAGCTTCAATTTATTTTGAGCCCTTTTGAAGTTATTATACAGCTACATATATATCACATCTATATCTATATATATAATACGCGAAGGTGTTTTTTGTGCAGCATAAAAGATCTGCACCGTTCGTTCGATTCTCAAAAATATGGTGTCAAATTAAAGCGCTTGGCCTGTACATGTGCAATAAGGTTTTATTTTTTCGAAAAGAGTTGCCACCTGTTAAATTATTAAACTCANAGTTTTTTGTGCAGCATAAAAGATCTGCACCGTTCGTTCGCTTCTCAAAAATATGGTGTCAAATTAAAGCGCTTGGCCTGTACATGTGCAATAAGGTTTTAGTTTTTCGAAAAGAGTTGCCACCTGTTAAATTATTAAACTCAAGTTATTTACTAATCAATCCGCACCGTTCGATTTTCAAAAGTGTGGTACCAAATTAAAGGGCTTAGGGTGTGGATGTTCAAGAAGGCTTTACTTTTTCGAAAAAAGTTGCCACCTGTTAAATTATTAAACTCAAGTTATTTACTAATCAATCCGCACCGTTCGATTTTCAAAAGTGTGGTACCAAATTAAAGGGCTTAGGGTGTGGATGTTCAAGAAGGCTTTACTTTTTCGAAAAAAGTTGCCACCTGTTAAATTATTAAACTCAAGTTATTTACTAATCAATCCGCACCGTTCGATTTTCAAAAGTGTGGTACCAAATTAAAGGGCTTAGGGTGTGGATGTTCAAGAAGGCTTTACTTTTTCGAAAAAAGTTGCCACCTGTTAAGAAATTAAGCTTAAATTAATTAAAAAGTTAAATCAATTATTAATTATGGGTATCAATCGGAGTGGTTTTGAAAAGGCTTTATAACTTAACCCTAGAATACTAACGTTCGCCTGTGAGGCGGACCGAATTCGGTTTCCGCGCGATATTGCAGGATCAAAGTAAACGTTCGCGCCAACTCAGCTTAGCGCTGTACGAGGTTGTTAGCAAAGGCACATTGTATAGTGACCTTGCGCGGCTGAGTTCCTAGTGCAGCACGAGCAAGTTGAAATATATTTCCGAAATCGATTTTCGCTCTTGCAGTTGCAGTCCCACCTTGTAACTTTTATTTCTGAAACTGATTTCCGAAAGGTGACAGAAAGATCTTTCTGGCTGTTCACACATCGAAATAAAATTTCTCTTTCTCAATTTGACAGCGAATTGCGTGCGAAAGACGGAAATATTGCCACGTCTGACAGGCTCTATACAGAAACGATTGAGATATTAATTAAATGACAATTTGTTAAAATTATCAAGAATCAGTTTAGCCTAATAATAAAATTTCAAACAACGTCACGCTGCAGCTTTTGTACGTTCGATCACAGGAAAATAAATAGCAAAGACAATCGCAAAGACAAATTTAAATTTGAACAAATCGTCGCCTGGCTTGATTTAAAGCGAACATTTAAAAACACACTTACATGTTGTGACTGTAGCTGAGTGCGCAGAGATGCTGGCTGCAATTAGTTGCGGCCGAAAGTGTTCAAGTTCAAATCTCACTATGCAGAACATATAATTTAAAATCTTTATTTTCGTTTTTTTTTTTAATTATGAAAAAGTATCTGTAAAGTGCACAACGAAAAAAAATTAGTTCGGTTACAGGTTACGTGTTACTACTACAAGTACTAGTGAAAAGTTACGCAGCTGGAGTCAATTGTCACCTCCTAGGACAACTCCATGTTAAATGCGACAGTAGAAAGCATGGCTGGTAGATTTGCATGGTACCGGTATTCGACTGCCGAAAACTGGTGAACTCACTAGTTCTGTACTAGTATTTTCGCTGCAGGGGTGTTACGACCATTAATATTACCTAACAACCACTCAGGGGACCTCTGACTTTTCAAATAGCACCTCATTAGTGGAATTGCTTACTTAGAAAAGTAAAAGTATAAAAAGGGAGACTAACAAAAAAACACCTTAAAGAAATAATATATAAAATGATGACCATTAATATTACCTAATAACCACTCAGGGGACCTCTGACTTTTCAAATAGCACCTCATTAGTGGAATTGCTTACTTAGAAAAGTAAAAGTATAAAAAGGGAGACTAACAAAAAAACACCTTAAAGAAATAATATATAAAATGATGACCATTAATATTACCTAATAACCACTCAAGGGATCTCTGACTTTTCAAATGACACCTCATTAGTGAAATTGCTTACACAGAAAAGTAGAAAAAGGGAGACTAACAAAAAACACCTTAGAGAAATAATATATAAGATTAGATAAGTTCAAGTCAAAAACCAAGAGAACGAAATCCGAAAAACGCAAGGTATGTTGGTTTGGTTGATCACAAAACAATTATGTTGTTATGGAATGTGTGTAAAGTATCGGAAAACAGTCCTTAAGGCCCCTATACACGATGCAGCCCTGAGGTCATGAAAAATATAAATCAACCTTAGCCTCTATTTCCTGCTTCAAACACTTCGATCAAATAACAAGCTTTTAGTGTAACGAATGTAATCCTTCGTTTAACAATGCTTCACTGCTTAAACCCCATTTTAAAGTCACTGGTTAGCCATTACACAGCACATTTACAGGCTGCTCCTAATACATGTCGTCGTTTAAAGTCCAAACCCCGTATCGTCATTCTGCAAAACCGCGTAACTGACATTTGCTGCAAAAAATTGGATTTGCTCACACAAGCTCTTGTCCTTATCCATTCGTCCTGAAATATACTAGCCAGAAATGCTATTTGCTTTATAAAAAAGAGAATCATTTTGAAATATGAGTGTTTTTACTCTCTTGAAAATAATTTATGCAACCTGACATACGCTGTTTTGTATTTTGTTGATACGCGGTTTTGTACTTTAAACGACGATATGTACTGTGCATGTAAATATTTGTACTTAAGTAGGTACAACTACGAAAAAACAAATTCCATAATTTTATTTAAGAATATTTATTTACTCTTCACCCATGATGCAATAAGATAAGGTGTTGGATGTTGTGACAGCTCGATTTGATGCTGCCTTAGTTCAGTGGAATAAGAAAAAAAACGGGAAGAAATGAATCCCTGTTTGGGGGAAAAATATAAAATTTCATATTTTCGTCTAAACAAAATTTGCTTTTTTGTAGTATATTCGTAATGAAATGAAATAAAATAAGATACACTAATTTTTAAGAAAAGAAAATGTGTATACCGAGAAACAATAAAAAACATTGAACTGTATTATATTGCAAAGAATTGTTAAAGAAGTAACACTGTTTCACCTAAGGCAGTCAATATGGCGGAATTAGAGCGAGAAGCTGCCAACATCCAACACCTTGTATTATTGCATCATGCTCTTCGCCCACATACTCCTACATATGTATGTATGTATTAGAGCTCTCGATTTTGTTCGCACATTTTCAAACAGCCCGGGTATATGAGCAGCGAGTACTCGCACACTTGTTCAATGCTCATTACTCGAAAATTTTCGAGCTTGAGCTCGAGCAATTCGAGTTTTTTCGAGTAATTTGAGCAATGTTTTTTTATTATATTGACATTTTTGGTAACAACTTTTTAAATTTTTCAAATGATTGATATATAATGCAAAGATTGATTCATTGGTATTTAATAATATAATTTATTTAACATGAATTAGAAAGCAGCTGCTGACAAATACAATTTACAAATTTTCTTTTGTTTATGAAATTGTTCAAAAACTCGAAAATTTTGAACAAACATTTGGGCAGTTGAGCAATGAACGAGTTTCGAGCGAGTATCAAGCTACTCGCATTGCTCGATACCCGGGTATCTAGAGCTCTAGTATGTATGTACATTGTACATACAATATATATGTTTGTGTGCATGCCCTGGAAATTGCCTCACTTTCCATGCAAAAGCAAATCGATTGTCCTTCCCTAATCGAATTCTATATTCAGAGTCATTCGTGAAAACTCTGTAAAAGTCTGGTTGAAAATTTCTTTAAAAAATCACGTTTGTCATGGACAAATTTTGTTACAAAACTTTTTCCCCAGTAAATAGACTGGGAGAAGAAAAATTTTAATATTTTTGAAAAGTTATTGTAGTTATTAAAAAGAACTCAACTTTTGATACAATTTAATGTAATACATTAAAAACATTATGCTAGCTTTGTGAAAATGTGAATAAAGTAACCAAAAGAAGTCTGCAAAGTTAAAGTAAAGTAGTCTAAATGTATTAATTAAATTATACTTAATTTAAACAGTTCACATAAGTCAACAATAGCAGAAATGTTTTTTGAACAATTAAAGCCATCAGATAAGTAGTTTATAGAAGGGTAATAGAGGGAAAAATCTTAGAATTGATTTTAAAGATATCCTTCTTCCATTTCGTATACAAACATGTTAAAAGGAGTGATGCATCTAGACGTAAATTTTCTCGCAAAATTGTGGCATTGAAGAGAAATACTTTCAATTTTCCTGGGTTAATTGTTCCTTACGTTTATTTAATTTTTTTATAACAATTATCTCTAAAAATGTGAGGACAAGTATAGTACACACTTTCGTATGAACAATAATAAATATAAATTGTTTTTATTCCTTATATTTTTTTCGTTTATATTTAAATCTATATAAATATCATTACATTTAATAATGATTTAAAATGCACACATGCATTTTCTTTTAATTGATTATCACCCATAGCATAATGTACTAAAATTTCAAGTGATTCGAAGAGATAGGTGCAGTCGGCTTGCATGATTTGAGATGGAATTGGTCATAAATTAAAAAACCAAAGGTCAATATACATACGTACATAGATGCATATGTACTTATGTATTTTATGTCAATATTAGAATTCATTTTATGTATCTTATGTCGACATTAGGATTCAGTAAAAGCTCTTCTGTATTTATGCATTTTCATATTTTTTTAAAGTTCATTTAAAATTTTTTCAATATCTATAGATATTAATAATTTTGTTTTTCTCAATTTCTTACTGAAAAGTGAGTACGACGACACGCGATTACGATAGAGGATCTTATGACAACTACAGCGAAAATTTAGGAAGCACTGCGAGCTCAAGATTAGAAAGGAGGAAACAAGACGAACACAGATCTATATTCTCCTCAAGCCGGGCTGAAAGCAGAACAGAAGATCATTATGGATCTAGAATCGGTACTCGGTCATCTTCACGAGTGATGGAAGAAAAAAATCTCAAATCTGTAGGGAAGCCCGTTATTACTAGAGCATGCAAAAGCGTTCAAGTTCAACGTAAGTAAAAATATTTAAAAAACTAATATTTTATAAACGTTCACACAAATGGTCTTAAAATAAATTAATGATGCAATTGCAAGAAGTGTGATAGGTATACTCCCTGCAAACCATACTTTCATTATTTCCCTTTCAGATTTTTTTGCCGAATTTTATGAAATTAAAAAAAAAAAACAATCATTAATAATGCAGCGCCGTGAAGAAGTCTTTCAAAATTGTCTTTAGGAAATCGCATATGAATTACTTTACGAGCTCGTGTTAACCACTTCTTTCGTAAATAAATCGTTACAGAATTCAAAACAGACTTCCGATACTCTTAAAGATTTCATTAAGATTTCGATTTCCAGGGCTCGTAACAATTGAAATTTCGTCCTACCGTATATTAAAAACAAGTTTACAAAATGCTTATTTTTGAAGTCAAGCCACTAGCATCCCAGCAAAAAGTTGGTAATCGCTTTTAGTGGTAACGTGTTCTAGAAGGCATAGCGTTATAATGCCTTCGAATTTTTTCGCTTCTTTTAGGCATTGCCGGTATTGCAAAGTAGAATGTCCTCCAATATTTTATTTATTTCTCTTCCTTGTTTCATTTCGGGGAATGCAAAGTAGAATGTCCTATAATATTTCTTTTTTAATTCGCTTCTTTGCTTCATTTCGGGGAATGCAAAGTAGAATGTTGCATCGTAGCTGAAAAATAGAATGAATATCCAAAAATTCTTTTTCTACCGTTACTTTCTGTGGAAATTTCTCTCTCATGTTTTGCTTTGTTCATTTTGCAGCGAGGTTGATGTCAGTCAATGAAGTGAAGTACAAGAGTGAGGGAGTACAATTTTAAGCTTAATTAAATATGCATGTAGGTACATACCGATTTTTAAGTAAAATCTAAATACCTAAATACATACATATGTACGTATAAAAACTTATTTATACAAATTTTAATTAATTTTAATCTTTTAAGACATTTTCTGATTTCTGTACTTATCTAGGCATTCCACATTAGTTTCTTTGTAAGGCATTCTTTGTTCGCTTCTCAGGATTCTGTTTATCCATGCGTTCTCCCTTCGTTTTAAGGGCTTACCGCCAATGACATGCCCATGTTAAAATAATGCCTTCTTGAAGCGAAAGGGTAAGCGATTCCCATCGCCTACCTCGTTTCCACTTTCGCTTCTGTGTTAATCGTGTTTTTGCTGGATGTGGCGTGCTTATTCCCGGTAGGACCTAGATTCTCGGCAACATTACAAAAAAGTTGTTGGAGTGAAAACTTCTTTAGCGGCGGGAGTGAAACGAAAAACCATGCCTCTACGTGAGTGGATATTAGAGATGGGCGATCTCGTGGCTTTTGAGGAACAACGTTATTTGTGACTGTGACTTTGCAGTCACAGTGATTTTCATCGGTGACTGTGACAAAAACAGTGATAAAAAAGTTGCAAATAGGAATCTTTTACCGAGTGAACTAAGGGCATTATATATTTATTTGCATCAATGACTATTTTCGTCGTTTGTTTTGGTCATTCACATACGTTTTTAATGATTTGAAATGCTAATATCAAACAACGTTAATCAGACTTTAGTCTTAAATAACGAGTCGCAGTTTCTCGATATGTAAATGTCACAGCTACTCCAACCTAGGTCATAAGCTATCCGTGTGCTAAATTTCATGCAAATCCGTTTAGTCGTTTCCGTGTATTAATTTAATTAAACTTTTTAACAGGTGGAAACTCTTAAGAAAGGTAGCCTATTTTCCAGTCTAGGTCATAGGCTATCTGTGTTCAAATTTTCATGCAAATCCGTTCAGTCATTTCCGCGTGATAATTGCCCAAACATCCAAACATACAAACATTCACATTTATAATATGAGTAAGAAGTAAGATTGATCATTCGTCGGAATCGGAAAAATGAAATTTTAATAATAATTCCAGGACTTTGTCTAATTTTTTCGTCATTTTTCTTAATTACAAGTAGAGCTTTATAAATCTTTTATAACACCAAATGTTTATCAAGCTTAGGATTTTGTGTATCCGGGCAGGCTTTTTAATTTAACCAGAGAATATGTTTTCTTTATTAAGTTTACCCAGTTATCCATTTTAAACTGCTACCTGAACTTTATCAGCGGTTAAAACTTGTCAAATTTTAATTTAAAATTTTCGGTAAGGAATAAGCGAGTGGATGAAAAATATATAAGTATATGAAAGAATAAACACATGCGCCGACTCTAGCCATTGTGTGTCACTCCTTTAAATTATAGTTTTTTTCTTATTGTATTAAAAAGTAACGTTCGCAACACTTTACTAAATATTAATCTTTATATTAACTTAGTATATATTAGAGACCAGAAGATTACCCGGTGAACTTCATATCATCTATAATTTATTTGAATTCCACTTTGATCAATTGTAACAAATCTTCAAAATCCAATTCAAAGAGATTACTAATACTGCCTGCTGTTATAGCTGATAAAAGAGTCCACACCTATGAGATGTGCCACGCCCCCTTTTACAAACTCATTTATATACATATATATTTCTATAAGCATCTACCATAGATATCTGTACACTTCAAATTTTGAGTTCATGTGACTATAATTACCCTATTATTGGTGCTGGAGTCATGGAAATACGCTGGCAAATTTTTTTCGATCCTGTACATATGTTTAGGCTGCAACCTGGCATATAAATACATACATACTTCCACAAATATGGTCGATTTGCTTTGAAGCCCCATCTTGCGGTTCTTTGAATAAAAAATGGATATCAGAAATGAATTTTTCATATCACAAAACTCCGGAGCAGAAGTTTTTATTAAAAAAAAAAACATTCGTAACGCTTTAGTAAATATTAATCTGCATATTGACTTAGTATTAATTAAAGATATTTTCTTTTAAAATTGCGCAGGCTAGAAATTGATTAGGACTTTTTCTTAGAATTTTATGTAGAATCCGAACCTGCTAGGAAGGAAAAAATGACCGGCCCTAATATATACCCTGACGGAAAAAAGTGATTTTTTTTAAATAAACTAATTCAAAGACTACTTTAAAACAAATGCATTGAGTATATGTTTCGAATTTTAGTACAACGCTTTTATTAACTTGCAAGGTTGTGTGTCCAGACACCATTTGTAACTATAAAACCTTTGCTTTGCAAAGTTCCTATAAAAAGGTCTAGTGCATAGGGCGACATCTACCTCTCAACCGACGAGGTTATGTCGCCCTATGAACTACGTACGCTACAGCGGAAATGAACGACATGGCATTTCTTTAAATCAGAGGTTCCCAAACTTATTTTTATCGTAGACCCCTTTCAAAACTATACTGGTTTCCGTGGACCCCCTGATGCTCATTTCTAACATATTCCCAAAGCTCATCAAAAGATGTGAAGATTCAGAGACTAAATTCGGAGTGGCAAAAATAAAAATAAAATATTTTCTTGTGTTCTATTTATTAAAAAATAATATGATCATACACTTGCAAGTTTTAAAAAATAGAGCTCGTAAAGCCATGAAAGAATATTTTTTAAGAGCACTAAATAAACTCCTCACATGGTCCGCTCACTCATGAATTTGCATGTGATGTATTTGTCAAATAGTTCATTTGTGTTGATGCCATATTTAATTTTATCGCTCCGAGTTTTAAAGTGATGCGAAAAATATTCGTCACTCGCATATTTAAAACATAAAACTTTAAATAACAAAACTGCAAAGCTTTTTACGCCATACTACAAATTCAGAAACAAACTAGTAATTTTTAGCAAAACGACGACCTGATAACCTCCTCCTTTTTTGGAAGTCGGTTAAAAAGAGACCACATCTATATAAATCGATGGTAAACAAACAAGCAAGCAAGAAGCTCTAGAAGTGTTCCACCGTCTCATCCTATTCAAAGCAGGATGGTCAAATGGAGTTGTAATTTACGCCTATCACAGTCAGGTGTTTGCGCCACGTGAAGGGACCAGTCAGCAGTCCCAGCAGTGAGAGGAAAAACTAGACAGACCTTCTGAGATTGAAGGCAACATGAGTTTTGCCCACCACTCGATGGCTCCCAGTCATTGCTGAGCGAAGTAGCCACCCAGTTTTTGATGATTGCTTCGATGGTCGAAGTGGAGAGTGCTATAACTGGTTGCGGATCGAGGAATGCCTGGTCTAAGCCAACTCTGGCCAAAGGGTCAAATGCCTCATTTCCAGGAACTCCCGAGTGACCCAGAGTAAAGCAACCTCGTTATGTTTAGCAACATAATTTAGTCGGACATGCATTGCCGAACTAGTTTGGAAGAACTTAGGAAAAGGGCTGGCCAATGCATTAGGTGCAGCTTGGCTGTACCAGTAGACACGTAAACTCCTTTAACCCCACCTACTTTCCACCACGTAGTCTATGGCTTTGGGGATTGCAAATACCTCAGCTTGGAAGACTGAAGCATCTTCCCCAAAAGAAAAAGTGAAACTTATCCCCATTAACTTCGAAAAATACTCCAGATCCTGACCCTGAGTCTATTTTGGGGCCATCAGTGAAGATTCGACAATATACGAGTGTGGGATCAGTGCTGGAATTAAACCAGAATTCCCCATCAGGGAACTCTCTCTCTAGAATATCTTCAACAAAGGTAATGGTGGCGTACTATCCTGTAGCATTGAAAAGACACAAGTCCTGAAATATCTGCCCCCGGCAATGTCCGCATCGCTTCACTCAGTGTTATACCAACATCCGTTTCTTTTTATTCCGCAGATGACCTTTAAGGCTTATCCACGTATGATGACAAAAAGTGAGCGTCAAGAGCACTATACACCACTCAAAAGAATTAAAGTTAAATAAATAGGCCATAAATAAGCAACCATTTTGGTTCTTTATTATCGAAACCAAATGAATTTTCGTGACCCTCACTTACAACTCATGGACTCCCATACTTTTTTCACGCCCACGTAGACCCCCGTCGAGTCTCCCGTGGACCCCTGGGGGTCGACGTGGACCACTCTGGGAATCACTGCTTTAAATGGAATTAATTGGTGCTCGTTTG